ACTTTACAAGAGCCATTGGAGCCTCATCGCACAAAGGCGACTATTGATCGGAATCCAATCAATCAGAGCAGTCTCGGCTTTAGCACTGAGGGTGATTCCAACACCAACTTGCCCAGATGCGGCAGACTCGGCGTTACCAGAGAGGCGGAGATGGAAGCGGGTGCGTGGGTGGAGCGGTGATGCCAGCTGGTAGATCGAGTTGGAATACTGGAGTCGTATTTCACTCAGGCAACAGATATCAATTCCAAGGGTCCCTAGTGTGCGTGCAAATCCAGTTTGCTGACCGATCTGCAGTAATGTGCGAACGTTGAAGACTGCAAGTTTGAACTGCGTTCCGGGTTGCAGGAGCGAAGATGAGAGACTTCGGGGTTGGCAGCTCTCTGTTGAGCACTGTGAGAGTGAGTTGGCAGATGTCAAGGGAACAGGTTCACCGGTGTAGGTGGGGTTGATCGCCAAAGAGGAATCAGGTAAAAATGGGTGTGAATGGTACAAGGGAAGGATAGGTAAAATGATGGCGTGTGCTTGTGAAGTTGGCATAGTAGCATGAGTGAATAGCATTGTAGCAACAAAAGAGTGTGTGAATGGTTGTAGTTGTAAGTCGATGGTTCGTCAGTAGGCGGGATATTACCCTGTTGCCTAGGCCGCTGAGTGAAACAATGATTTATTACGGGTAGAAAAAGTCAGTGCAACAAATCCGTTAGAATGTTCAGTCTCACAATTGTAAACGTCGTTACGCGATGTAGGTCTCACCTCCGTCAATGCACCATACTGTTCACATGAACACAAAGGTAGATCCACCTACACGTCGGCTGTATCATGCCATTTCCTGAGGAAAACGAGCATACCACGTAATTCAAGTGGATCAGCACACACAGTCGTTGTTGTTATTTTTTGTTCAATGCGCATGTGGGTTCAAAATGATGTAAAGTTGGATAGGTATTCAACGGCTGTTAAACCCAGAGGGAAATATTTTCAACCGCATTCCAGCCGGCTATAATTCGCGGCCAAACTAACGATACCGCAAGTTTGTGTTGTACCTTAGTTTCAAGTGGCGGCAAACGAGACGAGTTCTTCGGGGACTTAGATGAGGGCACCTCGCAGACGCCGATAAAGTACGTCGTACAGACCTAAGGGCGATCAGCCTCAGTAGGCACGGTAATCCACGTGGGTCCTCAAGTGCGCATTGAGCAAATACATGAAGATGGAAGAGTAAAACTGTTTAAACACCCACCGAAAGAGACCGACGTATTTCATTACTAGTTTTCGACACCTTCACGGATTGCGTCGAACAGCCAAAGTCATCCGCTGCTCTGAGGAGATGCTTTGCAAAATGTGCTCTCCAAGTACGCTACTTGATTGACAATGCATAGGAAGCACTGCAACTAAATGTATAAGTTCATAAACTTCATCAGGAGTACAGTGACGTGCACCAGGCGCCGTACGAATGCCGGTACTTGAACTGATTTGACATAAGCCCTACGTCGTCACTGTAAAAAGGCTGAACACAAGTTGTTGTGTACGTGAAGTTCATCCCGGCTTCAGAAGAGACCGCTACTCGTTGTTGTTGGGTGGTATAAGACACAGTGCCAAGTTCAGAGAGCGGTTTCAACTTAAAACTAGCAACAGCCCAGTTACCAATATGCGTGCGTCATGTACGAGGAATGCCTCCAAATGAGTGACCGGCGGGCATCAGGCATATATTAACAAGACGCGCGTATTCCGCTGTGATTTACTAATGTCATGGATCCGTGATACTGTCACTAGGATACACATATTGCGAGACAGGCATGTAAAGATTTGCAATATGATTGGAGGGGTCATTTTTAAACACTCGTTGCGGACAGCGATTCGCACTGTAGTGAACCTGGTTCGATTTTATCACTTGGACTGTAACCGATGAAGCAGACGGATATTGGAGGTTGACTGAAAGAAGACAATGCACTCAATGACCAGTTTATAAGTTGGTAGTTCGCATCAGGTAGAGGTAGCACACATTCAAACCCAGAGGCTGACACCCGAAAGGCAGAAATTAACCCGATAGTGCAAACACAGATAAAAGAACAGTACAAGGAAGGTGAATGACCATACCAAGAGATGAAGACAAGCGCTCAACCAACATGAGTGTGGTCATGTTGTCTCAAACAACAGTTCTTAAATCTGTGACTAGTTCACTCGGAATCCGCATTAAACGCAGACTGTTTCTTTGTCAACTAAGTGCTGAGGAGCAACATGAGTACATAAAAATGGAAAACACCAAAGCGCCGTCAAAATATACGGTTTACGTAACGAAAAAATTGTAAAAATGATAAGCCATGCATATGTCGTTGTGCATAGGGAACGGTGGACCATAATCTCCACGACGTAACAAGTTAGAGTAAACCGCGTACTTTCCCAGAGGTAGTGATGACTCCTACTTCAGAATCCAAGGCGATGTGTGGCGCGCTTCTGCTCGCAGCTTTCATTGTGAGCAGCTCTTCCAGTGTTACAACTCAACCTGTGATCCCCCAGAGTATGATAGATCTTGCGGGAAGCCACTAGACTGATTTACAGTTGACTTATTCCTGCCCAAATTACCGTTTATACTAGACTACTAACTCTTGGCGCAGTAGTGTTTAAACTTCTAGTACTACGCGGCCAGGCAATCACCAATTGTTGCATGCCAGGCATACAGCGTGAGTATATTCAAGCTTGAGCGCGTGATGCGAGGCATTGACTGCTCTCCATTAGAACTCATATCAAGTCGTCATGCAATCTGGCGTGATAAGGTCACAGAAACGTAATTGTGTGGAAAGCGGGTCAAAGGTTCCGCTTTGTGTGAATCGGTGCCGCTCATGTCATAAGTGTGCACTGTGGAACTGAAAGCCTGACATTTGTTCATAAACGAGGGCTGTAGTAAGTGAACAAAAAACACTACGTACAGTCCACTTTCAAGTGAAGATGGATTAATCGCAATGAAGCCGGACATACAAGTGGTGCGATGGTTTGCGCACCACCGCGGTGCACAGAAACGCCAAAAGAGCAACAGGGCAAAATTGGAAATATGAGTTATTGAAAACAGTTAGAGCCCTTCATTAGTCTCAACAATAAAATGAGAAGACGAATATTGGCACATGCTAGCACTTCGTATTATCTCGTCAGTACCAATACAAAAACAGGGAAATTTTTTAACAAGTCTTATAGGTCACAGTCAAGCCAATCAAATTTATGGTTGTGGTCGTTGTTGTTGACATTAGGACCACGGAAAACGCACGTTCACAACTAAATGCTTTTGGACGCATAAAGCTGGTCTAATTCGGCTTATCGTGACGGCCTCGGCAAATCGCAGAAGGCGTGAATTTGTATGACGCAACAAGCTCCGAAACGGCGATAAGGGATTAATTAGGTGAAGAGTCGCCAAGATGTGTCTGCCTATGCAGGACGCCGTCGGCTTACACGAGCACGTATCGCCGGAGGTGGATTGAGTAACTTCGCGTTGAACCAAGTTTGGTAAGTGTTCCTTCACACTGGAATCTAAAGCCCGTTCAGTTCTGCTGATGTAACTGATGCCGCAGTCACTCACGAATTGGTAAACACAATGTGATTTGGAGCCGACAAGTTCATCTTCCTTCAATGAAGCTAACGGCAACTTTCGGGTTCTGTTGATAACTACCGCCTCTGCAGCACAGTACGTATGCTGAATGGCCGAGACTATGCGTTTAGTTGTCCAGCTTGCTGCGGTGTCACCACTGAATGGTAGTACGATGCATACGTTTGTCTTAGGTGCCGTAAACACCATTTCTTTAGACGGTCAACCTGACGGGATAATACGAAATGCTAGCATCTGGCAATATTCGTCTTCTCATTTCATTGTTCAAATTTGAGTTAGCCAAATGTGTTCTCAGCAACAACTTCATAGGGAGTTAAAATGAAGTCCATGACTTTCAAGACAAAACAATGAGATAATAGTTTACGAGTGATAAACTGAGCTCCGTCCGTGCTGAGCAAGAGCGCCGTGGGCAGTAGATAATGACGGTAGAACGAAAATTCGCAAAGCGCGCTTTTCGATAAATCTCATCAGGTGTAAACAGTTATGAAGCGTAAAGTTGGATAACGATAGGCTGGTGAATCGCGGTAGAGATTGGCGGAATCAGAACTAGGCAGAAATTGAGCTGTCTTAGTCGCGATCTTCTCAGACAGCAGCTCCCAAAGTACACGTAAGCAGGCATAGACACACACATATATACACAGGAGAGAGAGCACATGCTTTTCGACTGCTTGGACGACTCACCCGTTAATATCCGCGTGTGGAGTGAAAGCTGTTTGGTAGTATGTTAACCAAGAGTAGAAGGAGCGCTTGAACAGGCGCCCACTGTTTGCATAGCCCAAGTTGTATTAGTCTGATTGCAATGGCTTCGACGGTAACTGACACTCGTTTTATAATTCCTTTGGGGTAGCGTTAAAACACGACATAAAATACTTTGAAAGCATCATCAATCCTAATTTGGTGCCCAATTTTGACCACACGTTCGAAGGTAGAACTGTTGACGCCACAATACGTTGGGACAGCGCTCCCATATACGTTTAGACAGATGCCTAATCTTATGTCTGGCGTACCTCATATCACAGGTGTAAGATGTAGAATGTAAGATTCGGACTGGACCGAGAATCTGTACTTGAGATGTTGAAGAACAAACGGCACGGTTTTGGCAATGACGTGTGGGTAGACAGTTGGGAAGAATCCAGCTACTGCAGTGGAAATTCCTTGGTTTAGCAAATTGAACACTATCTCCCTTGAGGATAACTGATAGAAACGCCTTTCTTGGGAACAGTTGAAGTCATTTCGCGACGATGATGAATCATTGCGTGCTTTTGGATGAACGGGGCTGGGTACTCGTTTTCTTGCAGCCTCCAATGCTTCTGTGTTGAAAATTTTGGTAGCGCAAAAGTACAAACAAGGAAAAAGGTGCCGATTGTACTTCAAGGGTACAAAACTGAGAAAATGCGTGTATTGACCGACTTACATTGCTTTCAGGAACGCACGTCTTTATAGTGAACTGTCTTCCTTTCTACTTAGTAAAAGTCCAAGAAGTCCAGCTTACCATCATTTTCGATTTCACTAGTGAACTTCAACGATGGATGTACACTGTTTACCCGGTTCAACAGAATGGAGACATCAATGTCTGAATCACAGATTATAAGAGTGTTACCCATATATCGACAAGATGAAGAGATGATGCGTTTTATAGATCCATATTCAGTATAGAAGGGAAAATGTTAGCAAGAAGTGGTCCAGTCGCAACTCCGTCGATCTGTCTGTAGTAAACTCCATCAAAGAAAAATTATCTGTTGAAGGTGTTTGGTAAGATTAATTACTTCAGTTTCTACAGTGGAATACCCAAAGCTGTGATCTTTTTGTTTAAGTAATCACTAATAAAAGTAACCTTCACCAGCGAAACACTCGTAAAACGTGACTCAACGTCGAAACAGAGCATTAAGTTACCATTTAATTCCATGCATTGAACTTGTTTCACTAATTCTAATGTGTATTTCACAGTGTGTGCACAACTAGTTGCGCATTGGTTCAAGTTAATCTACAAGCTGTTACGTAACAGAGTGAAAAGCGGTCGACATGTCAATTAACGGACGCAGAGGAACCCGCGGTTTATGTACTTTGGGCAATCCGTAAAGTCGGGGAGGATGTGAGCCAACTACAGTTAACCGTTACAGTAGTCTGCTATCTGTCAGGTTCATGCGTTTCAACTCCTTCAGTATTCACGTGATGTTATGATCACCCTGCGCGGTCTTATCTTTCTGTACCGTTTTACCAAGGAATTTTCCCGTGTCCTGCAAAACGGAATTTAGTTCGGAAACAGTCAGATTTATCTATCATTACCGATCCCGATTCTATATCGAGTCTGGAAACTATCACATCTGGAATCGATCTCAATTCACAGATAGTTTCACGTTATTTCTTAGTCAGGATACTCAGGGATTTGGTTTCGTACCTCAGATATTGTTGCACGAGATGAACCAGGGTGGTTATGAGAGATTCCCTAGCAAGCGAAGAAGCAGGTGTCAATTCGTTTAGTTGTTGTATAGGATTTTCAAACTGGGTCTCTAGATAGACTTTTTCACTACTAAGATGAGAAAAGCAAAATCTTGGTCCAAGTGCCAATACCTCTGGTCGCAAGTCGTTCAGCGGTATGCTGGATAAATTATGCACATATCTTTCTACATACGGTGGGAACATGGGTTCTGGCGCGGTTGCTTTAGCGTAACAAATGTTGAATACTGGATAAAAGTAGCTGTTGGAGTAACAAAACGGATTGACATTGAGATGCATTTTATCGGCGCTAGGCAAGGGCCCGCGAACCATTCGGCTAATTCAGTGAAATATCGCCCACATTGGTGGTCGTACCAAAAACGCAGTCATACGCGTGAGCGTCGTATAAGTCGTGCCAAGATTGCTGAGTCGCGACACATGACACATGGCCGTGGGCGTTCTGTGGGCCTGGCCAAGACAACGTCAACTACTAAGGGGGAGGAAATTCACAGCTGAAATATCGGAATGAGGGTGCATGCTTGAACTATAAATATTAACATGAATGATGCTAATAAATCCTCTGGTCAGCCAAGTTATCTCTTCTGATTTTCCCCAACTAAGTTGGACGCGGCACTAGGCAGTGAGCGAAAACAGATCAGCGTTACGACAATACGACACAGAGCGGTTTATGGAAGCAACAGGGAGAGCTGTCTGCAGCTGAATCTAAAGCTGTTATGCGTGAGAATATTCGTGATATTTCATGTTGGTAAAGAGTTTGTCCAGGAATTTCTTGAATTCCGACACCGACTTTTCCGCTAGAAACAGAGTTAGTGGGTGACTCGCTTCAAATCCGGTACTACAAGCTTGTACCGGTGTGCGCATTTGGAGCAGCAGCCTCAACACAAGGGAATCACCGAGATGTAATGTACGGTGCGTGTTGGTGAAGTTAACCCACAATCGACGATAAGACAGGGTGTAAAGTCTTAGTCTCTTGCACCGGTCTTCGTGCCGCACACCTCGTAAATTAGAGATGAGTCCAGTGGTCACCACGCTGTACCCTCTTAATCCGTTCTACTTCGACCGGGGTGATAGATAGTATGTGGATGAGCCGTACTCTATTATTGGTCGTATGATTCAGACAAACAAGCAAGTGGAAAGCCCTTTGGACCAAGTGCTGAAGCTGCGCTTGAGTGCCTAAAGCATACGAAGTTCGTTCTGGTAAAACCTATTCATTTTGTCCGCGGAGTTTACGTCGCAGCGTGAGAGTACACCGAGGTGTTTCACAAAAGGCGTAGGATGCAACGGTTGACCGGCTACCGTGTAAGTTCAACCGTGTACACACTTACCCAGCCTCATGAACAGCGACTTGAATTAGTTTATCGGAAGAGTGACCTCTGTAGACCACGTGGAGAGGCGGTCGAGGTCCCACCGAAGCAGGTCACAGTCATCGGGTGGGCTGATTACTAGCCACACATTCAAGTCATCTGCAAACAACGCAAAAGGCGAACGGAGAAGCTGAGGCACACCGTTTATTTGGATCAAGAACAAAATGGGCCCCAGTACATTACATTAGGTCACGCCACTGGTCGAGGGATACCAGTTGGCCAGATGGGTGCTGACCAATTTCGACCAACCAGGTGAAATCAATGTAAATGACGTCGACTGACTTCTTTTGATTCAGTGCCTACAGTAATTCGTGCCTCGTAAACGGCAGATTGGTGAAATATAAGAGACCTTTCATGAAACAATGCTGTGCGAGAGTCAAGAGGACTTTCGACTTGAGAAGTTGCAGCAGATACTCTTACACGAACTTCTCAAGTGTCTTAACCGAAATAACGGTCAGACAGATCGACCGATAGCTGTCCAATCTGCTTGGGTCATCATATTTCGGTATTGGCTTTACGACGGAGCATTTCCAGTCAATCGGTAATTAACCAATGGATAGCGACCAGTTGAACAGCTCAGTCACGATAGGCGATATGACCGATAATTAGTTGGGGATCAGTGGGTGGGTTCCGCCAGGCCCAGCGGGTTTGGTCCCGTCACAACCATCCAGCAACTTGCGCACATCTTCAATGCTGCAATTCAGGCTGTCTAGTTTGGTAGGGACATTACCCGTCGAACTCGGTACAAGCACCTAGTGACTTGCTTATATAAAAGCGAAGTACACCGCCAATGCGGACGATCAATGATCGAGCTAAGAGTCTGTACATTTAAACCCTCCAAGACTGACACATTTCTTGCAGGCCTCAGACGCCGCTTCACGTGGGCAGAGGTCCTCTTGGGGACTGTTTCGCTGCTCCTTGAAGTTGCGGTGTTTTGTGTTTTCGCTCTCTTGTACGCCTCATAATCTTCGTCAGAGCTAAACGCGACTTTTTCCATAGTTTTCATCGCCGTCGAGTCAATTTTCTGTACTCCTCGTCGAATTAATGTGGCTTGACTGGTTTAACTTCACTATACTTGAGGGGTACAAATCGTGCGTACAACGACTTTGTTCTCTCTTTAATGATAGTCCAACAGGTTTCAACAATGAATCCAATGGTAGTGACCAGTCCATCTGACTCGCGGCTTAAGTAAGGCCATTAAAGTCCGCCTTCCAATAGTTGAAGGATGGATCCAGCAGAGGAGAATACCGCAGCGACAGCTCCAGACTGCATATTATCGTGGAGTAGTCACTCGCTCCCAAGGGCTCCGAGACTTAAATGTCATGAACACGTTGCCCACAGCTAGTCAATATCAGGTCTAAACAAGATGAAGACGAGCGCGCGGTTATGCGTGTCAGCTGGTTGAAATGCTATGTGGTCTCAGTTGCAAACATTATCTCCGTGAATTTCCTCTCGACTTCACAATGGCCGGGGAGTTCGGCCTCAGACCACTGTATTCGAAGTAAGTTGAAATCGCCCATGAGCAAGAATTGCGAACGACTCGCGTAGTGGCGGACATGCGGCAACCAATTAAAGCAGCATCTAAGCGGACAGCGACAGACCACGCTCACGAACGGCTCGCAACGTCTGAGGTGAATCGAACACCATAACTGCTCGAATGGTGACGATTGGCGCTTCGATAGGTGCTCACTTGTCTCCCTTGTGTCTCCTTATGTATAGCAGCACATCACCGCGATCATATGATGGCCAATCACGGGGAAAACGAGTAGCCGCTGGTTTCTACTTCTTAGGCGGTTACGTCTGAGTTTAACCATGTATCGCTAAGGCCTCATACGTCTGGCTGGTGAAAGGTTAAAAAGCAGCACAACTCGTCACGATTGTTGAGCAGGCTGCAAACGTTAGTAAACGCTATACGCAGGCCGCGGGAGCAATTGCTGGGCGCGCTTGAAGCTTCAGAAATTCGTTGATCCAAATTCGTGGATGAATCCGAGTAATCAGCCGAAAAGTTACTGCGTGCTGTGCCGAGCTGTTTTGTTTTAATTGTAAAGTAAACACAGACGTTCTAACTCATGGATTCGCGACTGAACAGGTTCCAGTATGTTGTGAGCATGGCGCTTGGGCGACTCAGTTGTTGGAGGCACAGAACATTGGTTAGGAACTTTCCAATAAGTCTTCGGATATCGATTACGCTGTAAACGTTCCTCTATGAATCCCATGTCGGTATTGGCATCCTCAAGCCTAGGGTAAAAGTTCAAACATTTGTTGAAGTCACTGAATAGATTGCGTTGATTGCTTTTGTTTAGCTAGAAAATTATACCCATGGAATAGTTAGAACACAAGGTTGCGAAGAACTAACTATGATAAATCTTATCAGGCGTTTTACTAAGGAGAAAGGAAGACGGTTCACTATAAAGAAGTGCGTTCCGGAAAGCAATGTAAGTCGGTCAATATACGCAATTGCTCAGTTTTGTACCCTTGAAGTACAAACGGAACCTTGTTCCTTGTTTGTACATTCGCGCTACCAAAATTTGTAGCACAGAAACATTGGAGGCTGCAAGTAAACGATTACCCAGCCCCGTTCATCCAAAAGCACGCAATGATTCATCATCGTCGTGAAGTGACTTCAACTGTCCCCAAGAAAGATGCGTTTCTACCAGTTATCCTCAAGGGAGATATTGAGTTCAACTTGCTAAACCAAGGAATTTCCACTGCATTAACTGGATTCTTCTCAACTGTCTACCCACACGGCATTGCCAAAACCGCGCCATTTGTTCCTCAACATCTCAAATACAGGCTTTCAGTCCAGTCCGAAACTTACATTCTACGTCAGACATAAGATTAGGCGTCTGTCTTGCAGGCTTCTGCCAAAAAAGTGATCGCCTACATAAGTCGAACTCTTATTTTGAGGGATTCCAGGCTTCAAGCCTTTAAAATATGTG